GGAAAGATGGCAGTATCTTTATTTTTCATATGAATTATAGTACCAAAAACTATCATGTGATTTCCAGTTCGTGGAAATTCAGACTTGATTGAAAATATTTTATTGACGAAGATGTTCTACACTCTGGTTAGGTGACAGTAGCATAACTAAGGCAGGGCAACTGGGACAGCAGCCCTAGGCACTAGCTTAAGGTGAGGAAGTGAAGTGGGGTCAGAAAAATAATATCTGCTGCTGCAGCATCCATATATCTGTGGTGGTGGCATCAGCAGTTGGAAGTTACTGCTGTTCCCATGTATCGCCACTGCCTTGGGCACCTAGCTGTCCTGTTACACCTCTACTCTCTGTCCTCTTGACACAAATGCTTGTGTCAGTTGAAGCCAACGCTTAAGTACAATCCGTCTAGCCATACAAAAAATACTACTAGATAAGCAAAACCACCATGCCATTAAATAATAAGGACCAGTTAGTTTTTGGGAAAAAATTCTGAAGCATGCATTATTCTTTCCAAAAGTGTACTACCTCTTGTTTATATTGGAAAAAAAATTGGCCTTAATTATACTATTAAAGGAGTAAACTCTCTCATAATACTGCTAAAAATTCTTACACAGATGTAACATATTTCAGTTTGGAAAGCAAAATAAATTGTTGGCATAAAGTCACTCATTTCAGAGCTTATGTCAGCACAAGTGACATTCTTAATAAGTAGTTAAGGAAATACAGATTAAATGAAGGTAGTGTAAAGTGGCTACATGACTGGTTGGATCAACTTGATCAACAAGTAGTCATCAATAGCTCAGTGTCCATTTGAGATGAGATCTCAAGCTGGGTCCCAAAGGGGTTGGTCCTAAGTCTGGTGTTGTTTCATATCTTCATTAATGATTTGGAGGATTGAGTTCACATTTCATACATTTGCAAATAGTAGCAACTTGGATGGAATTGCAGACACTCTTAGAGAAGGGGTTGGCAACCTACAACCCATGGGTCCGATGTCACAGTGGACCATCAGCTGAATATAAGCCAACAGGATGCTCTCGTTGCAAAAAAGGCCAACAGTAGACTGTGTTGTATTAATAGGAGTGTCAATTACAAGTAAAAGTATGTGATTCTTCCACTCTATTCAACACTGGTGCGACCTCACCTGGAGGACTGCATCCAGTTTGTGTCCCTCTACTTCAAAAAAGATGTGGACATGTTGGAAAGAGTCCAGCAGAGAGTGACAAAAATTATTAGAAGTTTGGGAAGCAAGACTTAAGATGAAACACTGGCAGAAGAAGCTTCTTTAGTCCAGAAAAAAGAAGGCTTAGACGGGATTTTATAACAGTCTTCAAATACCTGAAGAGTGATTGATAAACATTTACACTGCCAACTGGCATAGCTATACTGGTAAAACAGTTCTAGTGTAGGATTCTGAAAATAGGATTTGGACTCTCAAATCGTTCATGCAGTTTTGAAAATGTTATCCAATAATTAGTCTGGAAGATTGTAGAGAACAGACACATACCTTTTGGATATGTGCATTTGAGAAATACCTCAATAGCAGGAAATAAATGCTATCAGAATGTCCTTCTTCTAGCTGCAAATGAGCCAAAGAAACATAACATGAAAACTATGGCCTCATATTGAACTTGCCAATATGTCTGGATAATTAATTATTAAATTAATTTGTCCCTAAAGTATGTACACATTTGCGTATTTACTACTTTTAAAATTCAGTTGATTTTTCTTTTATATTTCCATATGTCAGTTTTCATTTTCCTGACTAAGAATTGTTGTTTCATAGTGCTATAAATGGTCCCTAAGCTACTTCTCACAAAGTGCTTTGTGAATCTTTTGTGTAAAGAAAAGATTTTATGTTAAAAAATCATTAATTTAGTTCTGAAAGTAAGAAATACAAAACTACTTTCCCAGGTATATTTTTTTGTATTTTTATTTTTTCCATAGCATTCATTTCTGTTAATGTTTTCTTAACAATCCTATCTTGCTTTTTATCCTGATCAATATAGCAATAGTGTATCCACTCAAAGAGAACATTCTATAGTGTGAAGAAAATATTTTTCACATTATCCAGAGAAAATACAGCTACTTACCCCTTAGGCAAGAGCAAATGTTCAATTCTAGTTTTCCGAGCTGCAAGGAGCAAAGGTTTGTAACTTGTGTTCACAAAGCCTTCACATCCAAACTGTACTGCTGTCTTCTTGAAGAGATGTATTGACCTCATGTGGTCATGAAAGATCCAGGGGACAGAAGCATAGCAGTACTTGGGGTTTTCAGGTCCTTCAGCTACCTCCAAAATTAGGGTGGCAGAACTCTAATTTGTTGTCAAAGCTCTAATTTTATGATGTTGCATAAAAATGTGTAGCTAAGCTTGTTGCTTTTAAACAAGGTGTGGAGTGATCACAGCCCTCTGGTCCTTCACACCCACTAAAGAGGCAGTACTAGAAGGACTGTAATAAAGGTTGGGCGCTTGCTGGGAAGAAAGAGATTATAATCTGCACTATGACTGCATGTGTCCCTGTCTCCCTCACACCACACAAGGAAAAAAATGTGAGATTTCACTCCCTCCAAGTGGGTATCTGTAGTCCAGAACTGGAATAAGAGCTGTTGTTTGGTGTGGGTTAAGAATAAACTTGAAGAAAATAATAGTTTATTTTCCACATGAAGAACAAGTACTCATTACTCCTCTTTACTGTCCATCTCATTTTTTTCCCACTAGAATATGAGTATAAACAGGGTCTTTCCAAATTTCTGACAAGATCACACAAAAGTAACGTTTGTATAGTTTCACATATATATTGGCTGAGACTGTTTCCCAGAACACCAAAATCCTTTAGCCCTGTATTTTCCATTGGCCTTTCCTTACCTGGTAATTTCAAGAGGGTAGGTAGCAAGTTGACTCCACTTACATGGTCCTCTAATTTGTTGTGATCAGAACGTGCAGTATAAAAATGTTTCCCTCAGCACATCAAGCATCTAGTGGCATTTTTACATGTGTTTTTGGATACCGCGCCGGGCGATTTTAATGAGTGAGCTGCACTAATTAAAAGTCCCCATGCGTCACGTGAATCAGCATCCCCATGGAACCCCATGCTGAAAAAATGGTGGTGGAGCACTTTGAACTAAAGCTCATTTAATGTGTTTTATTTCAAAGAGCTCCACTGCCATTTTTTCAGTGTGGGGACATGCAAGGATGCTGATAAACATGATGTGGAAGGCTGCTGGAGTGCATCGATTTCTGTGCTCCAGCAGACTGGATTAATTGAGTCTGCTCCAATGCACTGGAAATCCAGTGTGTCGGAGCAGGCTCCCCGCATGTCTATAGGAGTCCCTAGTGAGTACATCTACACATGTGCTTTACTGTGAAGTAAACTAATTAGCTCCACAGTAAAGCATCATGGTCCACATGTAAACCTATATTAGAACACAGTAAACTAATTGACAGCACACAGTAAACTAAAACACTACTATCTTATGATGGGGTCATTTACTGCACTGAAACACACATGAAAATGATGATTCGATAGGGGCCAGATTTCTGCCTGCTGCCAGGTTACATGGCTCCCTGTGCCCCAGCCACCCCTGCCCATTCCCCCCCAGCCACTTGATGCCACCACCTGTAACCCCAATGTACACCCTGTCAGCCCAGCTTGCTCTGCCCCAGCTTGTATTGCTGCTGTCCCGGGCACATGTGTATGCCTGGCTCAAATAGCTCTAGACTTTAATGTTTCACCTTAATTTCATGTGAACATGCCCCCAGTAGGAGGTAAGTACATCACCAACCATAACATTTTCAAAAGTATGTGCCAACCCAGTAGCTGACAAGAAACAGGGATCCTGGGCAGATTTCAGTGCTTGTTAATTATCTAACAAGGATAAGACACAAAATGTCTCTGGAAGTTGTTTGGAAGATAATTAGTGTAATATGAATGCATTTTAAGTTTTCAAAAGATAGAGGCTAAGGAAATATTCTCCAGGCTCAGTCTTATGGATTTTTAGTGGAGAGAACATTGAATCAATTTGTAATGGAAAAGTTGTTCTTGATGCTGACAAAGCTTAGCCACTTTCCTGACTAACACACACATTACTTCGCCTCATTCTGAGGATGGTATTTTCTGTCTGCATGAGTATGGGTAATACAGAGCCCCAGCAGTGATGTTTAACTGAAGACTTCTACCATTGTTTCTGAACTCCAGTATTGTAAAGAATGTAAACTTTACTTCTCAAAGCTATTATGCTATCTCAATCATACCAGTAGGTCTCTCAAAAAAGACTTTTAGGGAAAAATAATGTTACATGCAATTAATGACAG